TGACCACATCCACTAGTCGAATGACCACATCCACAAGTCTAACGTAATGACCACATCCACAAGTCTGACGTAATGACCACATCCACAAGTCTAACGTAATGACCACATCCACTACTATGACGTAATGACCACATCCACGGGTCTAACGTAATGACCACATCCACAAGTCTGACGTAATGACCACATCCACTACTATGACGTAATGACCACATCCACTAGTCTAACGTAATGACCACATCCACAAGTCTAACGTAATGACCACATCCACTAGTCTAACGTAATGACCACATCCACAAGTCTAACGTAATGACCACATCCACAAGTCTAACGTAATGACCACATCCACTAGTCTAACGTAATGACCACATCCACAAGTCTAACGTAATGATCACATCCACAAGTCTAACGTAATGACCACATCCACAAGTCTAACGTAATGACCACATCCACAAGTCTGACGTAATGACCACATCCACAAGTCTAACGTAATGACCACATCCACTAGTCTAACGTAATGACCACATCCACTAGTCTAACGTAATGACCACATCCACTAGTCTAACGTAATGACCACATCCACTAGTCTAACGTAATGACCACATCCACTAGTCTAACGTAATGACCACATTTACTAGTATGACGTAATGACCACATCCACAAGTCTGACGTAATGACGACATCCACAAGTCTGACGTAATGACGACATCCACAAGTCTGACGTAATGACGACATCCACAAGTCTGACGTAATGACGACATCCACAAGTCTGACGTAATGACGACATCCACAAGTCTGACGTAATGACGACATCCACAAGTCTGACGTAATGACCACATCCACAAGTCTAACGTAATGACCACATCCACAAGTCTAACGTAATGACCACATACACAAGTCTGACGTAATGACCACACCTGGCCGAGTCCTCCAGTGTTTACCCTGTCGACACCTGTACCTTAAAGATGGCTGCCTGCCAGTTTTCATTTTTTTCTTTCAGACGTCGGGCTTTAAGGAAAACTACTTGGCTGTTTACAATTTAAACCTGAGGTTTCTTTATCTAGTTGAATTTTTAGGATGGTCGAGGGTTGGGCTGTGTGGGCTGTGTGTGTGGGGCTGTGTGGTTAGGGGCTGTGTGGGCTGTGTGTGTGGGGCTGTGTGGTTAGGGGCTGTGTGGGTGTGTGGGTGGGGGCTGTGTGGGTGTGTGGGTGGGGGCTGTGTGGGTGGGTGGGTGTGGGCTGTGTGGGTGGGTGGGTGGGGGCTGTGTTGGCTGTGTGGGTGGGGGCTGTGTGGGTGGGGGCTGTGTGGGTGGGGGCTGTGTGGGTGGGTGGGTGGGGGCTGTGTGTTTGCTGTGTGGGTGGGTGGGTGTGGGCTGTGTGGGTGGGGGCTGTGTGGGTGGGGGCTGTGTGGGTGGGGGCTGTGTGGGTGGGTGGGTGGGGGCTGTGTGGGTGGGTGGGTGGGGGCTGTGTGGGTGGGGGCTGTGTGGGTGGGGGCTGTGTGGGTGGCGGCTGTGTGGGTGGGGGCTGTGTGGGTGGGGGCTGTGTGGGTGGGGGCTGTGTGGGTGGGGGCTGTGTGGGTGGCGGCTGTGTGGGTGGGGGCTGTGTGGGTGGGGGCTGTGTGGGTGGGGGCTGTGTGGGTGGCGGCTGTGTGGGTGGGGGCTGTGTGGGTGGGGGCTGTGTGGGTGGGGGCTGTGTGGGTGGGGGCTGTGTGGGTGGGTGGGTGGGGGCTGTGTGGGTGGGTGGGTGGGGGCTGTGTGGGTGGGTGGGTGGGGGCTGTGTGGGTGGGTGGGTGGGGGCTGTGTGGGTGGGTGGGTGGGGGCTGTGTGGGTGGGTGGGGGCTGTGTGGGTGGGTGGGTGGGGGCTGTGTGGGTGGGGGCTGTGTGGGTGGGTGGGTGGGGGCTGTGTGGGTGGGTGGGTGGGTGGGGGCTGTGTGGGTGGGTAGGTGGGGGCTGTGTGGGTGGGTGGGTGGGGGCTGTGTGTGTGGGTGGGTGGGGGCTGTGTGGGTGGGTGGGTGGGGGCTGTGTGGGTGGGTGGGTGGGGGCTGTGTGGGTGGGGGCTGTGTGGGTGGGGGCTGTGTGGGTGGGTGGGTGGGGGCTGTGTGGGTGGGTGGGTGGGGGCTGTGTGGGTGGGTGGGTGGGGGCTGTGTGGGTGGGTGGGTGGGGGCTGTGTGGGTGGGTGGGTGGGGGCTGTGTGGGTGGGTGGGTGGGGGCTGTGTGGGTGGGTGGGTGGGGGCTGTGTGGGTGGGGGCTGTGTGGGTGTGTGGGTGGGGGCTGTGTGGGTGGGGGCTGTGTGGGTGGGTGGGTGGGGGCTGTGTGGGTGGGTGGGTGGGGGCTGTGTGGGTGGGTGGGTGGGGGCTGTGTGGGTGGGGGCTGTGTGGGTGGGTGGGTGGGGGCTGTGTGGGTGGGTGGGTGGGGGCTGTGTGGGTGGGGGCTGTGTGGGTGGGGGCTGTGTGGGTGGGGGCTGTGTGGGTGGGTGGGTGGGGGCTGTGTGGGTGGGTGGGTGGGGGCTGTGTGGGTGGGTGGGTGTGGGCTGTGTGGGTGGGGGCTGTGTGGGTGGGTGGGGGCTGTGTGGGTGGGTGGGTGGGTGGGGGCTGTGTGGGTGGGGGCTGTGTGGGTGGGTGGGTGGGGGCTGTGTGAGTGGGGGCTGTGTGGGTGGGGGCTGTGTGGGTGGGGGCTGTGTGGGTGGGTGGGTGTGGGCTGTGTGGGTGGGGGCTGTGTGGGTGGGTGGGTGTGGGCTGTGTGGGTGGGGGATGTGTGGGTGGGTGGGTGGGGGCTGTGTGGGTGGGTGGGTGGGGGATGTGTGTGTGGGTGGGTGAGGGCTGTGTGGCTGGGGGCTGTGTGGCTGTGTTGGTGGGGGCTGTGTGGGTGGGGGTTGTGTGGGTGTGGCTGTGTGGGTGTGTGGGTGGGGGCTGTGTGGATGGGGACTGTGTGGGCTGTGTGGGCTGTCTGTGTGGGTGTGTGTGTGGGTGTGTGATTTGGTTTGGATAATACACCTTGGTGATATTGTTGTAATTTTTGTTTGTGATGTGTTTGTAATGTGTTAGTGGGCTGTGTTTGTTGTGTGGGTTGTGTTGTGTGGGTTGTGTGGGTTGTGTGGGTTGTGTGGGTTGTGTGGGCTGTGTGGGCTGTATGAGTTGTGTGGGCTGTGTGGGCTGTGTGAGTTGTGTTGTGTGGGTTGTGTGGGCTGTGTGAGTTGTGTTGTGTGAGTTGTGTGGGCTGTGTGGGCTGTGTGGGTTGTGTGGGCTGTGTGAGTTGTGTGGGTTGTGTGGGCTGTGTGGGCTGTGTTGTGTGGGCTGTGTGGGTTGTGTGAGATGTGTGGGTTGTGTTGTGTGGGCTGTGTGGGTTGTGTGAGATGTGTGGGTTGTGTGGGTTGTGTGGGCTGTGTGGGTTGTGTGGGCTGTGTGGGCTGTGTGAGTTGTGTGAGTTGTGTGAGTTGTGTAAGTTGTGTGGGCTGTGTGGGTTGTGTTGTGTGAGTTGTGTGAGTTGTGTGGGCTGTGTGGGCTGTGTGGGTTGTGTGGGTTGTGTGGGCTGTGTGGGCAGTGGGCTGTGTGGGTTGTGTTGTGTGGGCTGTGTGAGTTGTGTGGGCTGTGTGGGTTGTGTTGTGTGAGTTGTGTGGGCTGTGTGGGTTGTGTGAGTTGTGTGGGCTGTGTGAGTTGTGTGAGTTGTGTGAGTTGTGTGAGTTGTGTGGGCTGTGTGGGTTGTGTTGTGTGAGTTGTGTGAGTTGTGTGAGTTGTGTGGGCTGTGTGGGCTGTGTGGGTTGTGTGGGCTGTGTGGGCAGTGGGCTGTGTGGGTTGTGTTGTGTGGGCTGTGTGAGTTGTGTGGGCTGTGTGGGCTGTGTGGGTTGTGTGAGTTGTGTGGGCTGTGTGGGTTGTGTTGTGTGAGTTGTGTGGGTTGTGTGAGATGTGTGGGTTGTGTTGTGTGGGCTGTGTGGGTTGTGTGAGATGTGTGGGTTGTGTGGGTTGTGTGGGCTGTGTGGGTTGTGTGGGCTGTGTGGGCTGTGTGAGTTGTGTGAGTTGTGTGAGTTGTGTAAGTTGTGTGGGCTGTGTGGGTTGTGTTGTGTGAGTTGTGTGAGTTGTGTGGGCTGTGTGGGCTGTGTGGGTTGTGTGGGTTGTGTGGGCTGTGTGGGCAGTGGGCTGTGTGGGTTGTGTTGTGTGGGCTGTGTGAGTTGTGTGGGCTGTGTGGGTTGTGTTGTGTGAGTTGTGTGGGCTGTGTGGGTTGTGTGAGTTGTGTGGGCTGTGTGAGTTGTGTGAGTTGTGTGAGTTGTGTGAGTTGTGTGGGCTGTGTGGGTTGTGTTGTGTGAGTTGTGTGAGTTGTGTGAGTTGTGTGGGCTGTGTGGGCTGTGTGGGTTGTGTGGGCTGTGTGGGCAGTGGGCTGTGTGGGTTGTGTTGTGTGGGCTGTGTGAGTTGTGTGGGCTGTGTGGGCTGTGTGGGTTGTGTGAGTTGTGTGGGCTGTGTGGGTTGTGTTGTGTGAGTTGTGTGAGTTGTGTGGGCTGTGTGGGTTGTGTTGTGTGAGTTTTGTGAGTTGTGTGAGTTGTGTGGGCTGTGTGGGCTGTGTGGGTTGTGTGGGCTGTGTGGGCAGTGGGCTGTGTGGGTTGTGTTGTGTGGGCTGTGTGGGTTGTGTTGTGTGAGTTGTGTGAGTTGTGTGGGCTGTGTGGGCTGTATGAGTTGTGTGGGCTGTGTGGGCTGTGTGGGCTGTGTGAGTTGTGTGAGTTGTGTGGGCTGTGTGGGCTGTGTGGGCTGTGTGGGTTGTGTGAGTTGTGTGGGCTGTGTGGGCTGTGTGGGCTGTGTGAGTTGTGTGGGCTGTGTGAGTTGTGTGGGCTGTGTGGGCTGTATGAGTTGTGTGGGCTGTGTGGGCTGTGTGGGCTGTATATGTTGTTTGAACAGATTCTTCAAGGCATCTTTTGAGCGAGGGACTTAAAGAAAAGCTTCCGAAAGAACTAGAAGAAATTTATTTAAAATAACAAAACAAGCGTACCCGTCCCGCGCGTTGCTGTGGTCTCTCTAAAATGATTGTAGATGCCATAGAGCTCATGGGGGGAGACTTGAGCATGGTTAACACTCACACGCTGTGCAGGGCGCCCAATCAACGAGCCTTGTGGGCTAAGAAGGCCGCTGGGGAACTCTTGTGTCGCCCCACCCCCACGTGACCAACGCCCAGACTAGAATCGATTGACGGACTGGAAAATATTTGTTCACATTGGAGACCCATCCCCGTGACGTCATCGGTCGTCTGGGGGGGGGGGGGGGTTTAGTCAACAGATGGGTGACGTCATAAGGGAACAGGTGACGTCAGCAACCATCACGTCATTGCCATGAACCCCAAAATAATTAATTGCACTGTGGTTTAGTAATCAGAAGCTGATTGTAGCAATTAGGCTTCAATTTTAATCCAGCAGAGTTTGGGGGTAACTACAATGTTAAGAGGAAGACACGTGACTTTTATTCACGCACTTTATCCAGTTCTCACTTCAAATACCTCACATACTTCACACTTCATCTGTTTCCCAGTTCGTTTGTGTCACACTTCACCTACTTCACACTTCACCTACTTCACACTTCACCTAGTTCACACTACACCTACTTCACCTACTTCACACTTCACCAACTTCACACTTCACCTACTTCACCTACTTCACACTTCACCTACTTCACACTTCACCTACTTCACACTTCACCTACTTCACACTTCACCTACTTCACACTTCACCTACTTCACACTTCACCTACTTCACACTTCACCTACTTCACACTTCACCTACTTCACACTTCACCTACTTCACACTTCACCAACTTCACACTTCACCTACTTCACACTTCACCAACTTCACACTTCACCAACTTCACACTTCACCTACTTCACACTTCACCAGCTTCACACTTCACCTACTTCACACTTTACCTACTTCACACTTCACCTACTTCACACTTCACCAACTTCACACTTCACCACCTTCATACTTCACCTACTTCACCTACTTCACCTACTTCACACTTCACCAACTTCACACTTCACCAACTTCACACTTCACCAACTTCACACTTCACCTACTTCACACTTCACCAACTTCACACTTCACTAACTTCACACTTCACCAACTTCACACTTCACCTACTTCACACTTCACCAACTTCACACTTCACCAACTTCAAACTTCACCTACTTCACCTACTTCACCTACTTCACACTTCACCAACTTCACACTTCACCAACTTCACACTTCACCTACTTCACCTACTTCACCTACTTCACACTTCACCAACTTCACACTTCACCTACTTCACCTACTTCACACTTCACCAACTTCACACTTCACCAACTTCACACTTCACCTACTTCACCTACTTCACACTTCACCTACTTCACACTTCATCAACTTCACACTTCACCAACTTCACACTTCACCTACTTCACCTACTTCACCTACTTCACCTACTTCACACTTCACCAACTTCACACTTCACCTACTTCACCTACTTCACACTTCACCAACTTCACACTTCACCAACTTCACACTTCACCAACTTCACACTTCACCTACTTCACCAACTTCACACTTCACCAACTTCACACTTCACCAACTTCACACTTCACCTACTTCACCTACTTCACCTACTTCACACTTCACCAACTTCACACTTCACCAACTTCACACTTCACCAACTTCACACTTCACCAACTTCACACTTCACCTACTTCACACTTCACCAACTTCACACTTCACCTACTTCACACTTCACCAACTTCACACTTCACCTACTTCACACTTCACCAACTTCACACTTCACTAACTTCACACTTCACCAACTTCACACTTAACCTACTTCACACTTCACCAACTTCACACTTCACCAACTTCAAACTTCACCTACTTCACCTACTTCACCTACTTCACACTTCACCAACTTCACACTTCACCAACTTCACACTTCACCTACTTCACCTACTTCACCTACTTCACACTTCACCAACTTCACACTTCACCTACTTCACCTACTTCACACTTCACCAACTTAACACTTCACCAACTTCACACTTCACCTACTTCACCTACTTCACACTTCACCAACTTCACACTTCATCAACTTCACACTTCACCAACTTCACACTTCACCTACTTCACCTACTTCACCTACTTCACACTTCACCAACTTCACACTTCACCTACTTCACCTACTTCACACTTCACCAACTTCACACTTCACCAACTTCACACTTCACCTACTTCACACTTCACCAACTTCACACTTCATCAACTTCACACTTCACCAACTTCACACTTCACCAACTTCACACTTCACCTACTTTACCTACTTCACACTTCACCAACTTCACACTTCACCAACTTCACACTTCACCTACTTCACCTACTTCACCTACTTCACACTTCACCAACTTCACACTTCACCAACTTCACACTTCACCAACTTCACACTTCACCAACTTCATACTTCACCTACTTCACACTTCACCAACTTCACACTTCACCTACTTCACACTTCACCTACTTCACACTTCACCTACTTCACCTACTTCACACTTCACCAACTTCACACTTCACCAACTTCACCTACTTCACCTACTTCACACTTCACCAACTTCACACTTCACCAACTTCACACTTCACCAACTTCACACTTCACCAACTTCACACTTCACCTACTTCACCTACTTCACCTACTTCACCTACTTCACACTTCACCAACTTCACACTTCACCAACTTCACACTTCACCTACTTCACCTACTTCACCAACTTCACACTTCACCAACTTCACACTTCACCAACTTCACACTTCACCAACTTCACACTTCACCTACTTCACACTTCACCTACTTCATATATCACCTACTTCACACTTCACCTACTTCACACTTCACCTACTTCACCTACTTCATACTCCGCCCAACCCGTTCAGCGCCTGACGTCATCAGCGCTGGGTTCCAGAAGACGAGAGCAGACGAGAGCAGACGAGAGCCCGCCTAGCCCGGTGAGTTGAGCTTAAGCCTGCATGGGATTTCCCTGCTGTTTACATAAGGTGAGTACTTCCTTCTTTACGTGGCTAGGGCATAAGTTTTCAAAACATGAGGTCGATATCTGAAGGACAGACTAATCACAGACTAATCACAGACTTTTAAAACCTATTACTATGCTAGCCTTAAGAGTGCAGCGTTTATACATCAGACATTTTTGTTTACATCCAACAGACATTTGCTATCTAAAAGATCTTGTACCGACAGACTTTTTAAGCAACAGACTTTGTACCAATAAACTTTGTACCGACAGACTTTGTACCAACAGACAGACTTTGTACCAACAGACTTTGTACCAACAGACAGACTTTGTACCGACAGACTTTTTAAGCAACAGACTTTGTACCAACAGAATTTGTACCAACAGACAGTATCGCTAAGAACAAAAATTAAAAACACAAGCAAACCCAATCATACACAATCACAATCTGCAGATACAGCCATACACAGTCACAATCCGTCAAATATAGCCATTTAGAATAGTACACTGGCGTTAAATCTCCTACTCAATCACACGCAATTACACGCAATTACACACAATCAAAGACAAGCACACTCAATCACACACAATCACACACAATCAAAGACAAGCACACTCAATCACACATAATCACATACAATCAAAGACAAGCACACACCATCACACACAATCACACAGTCACATGCAGTCACAAATTCACATACAATCTCACACAATCTCACACAATAACACACAATCATACACAGTCACACAAAATCACACAAAATCACACACAATCACACACAATCACACACAATCACACACAATCACACACAATCACACACAATCACACACAATCACACACAATCACACACAATCACACACAATCACACACAATCACACACAATCACACACAATCACACACAATCACACACAATCACACAATCACACAATCACACAGTCGCACAGTCACATACAATCTCACACAATCACACACAATCACACACAATCACACACACACTCATACAATCACACACAGTCAAAGACAAGCACACACAATCAAAGACAAGCACTCACGATCACACACAATCGCACACACAATCACACACACAATCACACATAATCACACACAATCACACACAATCACACACAATCAATCACACACAATCAATCACACACAATCACACACAATCACACACAATCACACACGATCACACACGATCACACACGCTCACACACGATCACACACAATCACACACAATCACACACAATCACACACAATTATTGATGATGTAACAGTCGCTGATCGATACTGAATCATCGGGGTCAAGGTTGTTATGTTATAAATTACCTCATCGTTGTGTGTGTGGGGGTGAGTATGGGGAGTGGAGTGGAGGGGTGGGGTGGGCAGTGGTGAGTAGAGTGGGGTGGGGTGGGGTGAGGGCAAAGCTTAAGTCTGTCTTCGTGTCTGAGCACCATATGCATGACATAAAGAGTACCATCTATCTTTGTGAGAACCTCTCATATGAGAGTACCATCTATCTTTGTGATCTAGAGAGTACCATCTATCTCGAGAACAACCTCTTACATGACCTAGAGAGTACCATCTATCTTTGTGAGAACCTCTCTTATGAGAGTACCATCTATCTTTGTGAGAACCTCTCTTATGAGAGTACCATCTATCTTTGTGAGAACCTCTCTTATGAGAGTACCATCTATCTTTGTGAGAACCTCTCTTATGAGAGTACCATCTATCTTTGTGAGAACCTCTCTTATGAGAGTACCATCTATCTTTGTGAGAACCTCTCTTATGAGAGTACCATCTATCTTTGTGAGAACCTCTCTTATGAGAGTACCATCTATCTTTGTGAGAACCTCTCTTATGAGAGTACCATCTATCTTTGTGAGAACCTCTCTTATGAGAGTACCATCTATCTTTGTGAGAACCTCTCTTATGAGAGTACCATCTATCTTTGTGAGAACCTCTCTTATGAGAGTACCATCTATCTTTGTGAGAACCTCTCTTATGAGAGTGCCATCTATCTTTGTGAGAACCTCTCTTATGAAAATGCCATCTATCTTTGTGAGAACCTCTCTTATGAGAGTACCATCTATCTTTGTGAGAACCTCTCTTATGAGAGTGCCATCTATCTTTGTGAGAACCTCTCTTATGAGAGTACCATCTATCTTTGTGAGAACCTCTCTTATGAGAGTGCCATCTATCTTTGTGAGAACCTCTCCCATGAGAGTGCCATCTATCTTTGTGAGAACCTCTCTTATGAGAGTACCATCTATCTTTGTGAGAACCTCTCTTATGAGAGTGCCATCTATCTTTGTGAGAACCTCTCTTATGAGAGTACCATCTATCTTTGTGAGAACCTCTCCCATGCGAGTGCCATCTATCTTTGTGAGAACCTCTCTTATGAAAATGCCATCTATCTTTGTGAGAACCTCTCTTATGAGAGTACCATCTATCTTTGTGAGAACCTCTCTTATGAGAGTACCATCTATCTTTGTGAGAACCTCTCTTATGAGAGTACCATCTATCTTTGTGAGAACCTCTCTTATGAGAGTGCCATCTATCTTTGTGAGAACCTCTCCCATGAGAGTACCATCTATCTTTGTGAGAACCTCTCTGATGAGAGTGCCATCTATCTTTGTGAGAACCTCTCCCATGCGAGTACCATTTATCTTGAGAAAAACCTCTCAGACTGTATACATCACACCACACTAGCCTGCAGTTTTTGGACGCTGACAAAAATCGATGATCGATATAATTTGATTTGATTGATCACCTATTTCTGCAGAATATCGATCAGAAATCCGATATTCTGATAGGCTGACATGACAGCTAATTCGATGTATTGGGGCCTGAGTTTTCAGAATCGACATTCTCAAAATTTGACAGAATTGATATTGTCAACATGTGACAGAACGGAGAATATGACAAATAGTTAATAGAGTGCTTCACGTTGATGGTTGTCTAAGGGTTCATGCTTGTCTAAAGTTCATGCTTGTCTCGGGTTCATGCTTGCTTAGGGTTCATGCTTGTGTAAGGTTCATGCTTGCCTAGGGTTCATGCTTGCTTAGGGTTCATGCTTGTGTAAGGTTCATGCTTGTGTAAGGTTCATGCTTACTTATGGCTCATGCTTGTCTAAGGTTCATGCTTGCCTAGGGTTCATGCTTGTCTAAGAATGTTGTGGTGAACAGAAAAAATGTCACAGGAAAAAATGTGTATTAAGAAATATTTTGATTTACTTGTTGTGAATGTTGGGTGTGTGTAAATAGGGGTTGTGTCTTCATTAATATATTTATAAACTGTAAAAGCACTATGGTTTTTAATAATAATCCGACTACGATCTTCAATTTAAGTAAAAGTACGAAAGATAATTTATACCTCCAATTTTGTTAAGTATTGATTTAAATACCCATTCGAAAAATGAATCTATAATATAAGCGGGCTGGTAGTATGTCAGTCCTTCCGTCATCGCTATAGATTTTGGAACCATAAATGTAAACATCGCACCATGCAGTGCTTTTCAGTGCATCGCAGTGTCTTATTGTAAGTAATAGAGTAGGGTTTGTTTATATAACGACTTAAATGTATTTTACAGTTGCCACTGTTTTTACTTTTTCGCATAACGTCAAGAAAATATTAAATACACGCACATTGCTAAAACATATTAAAAGATCAATGTCAAATATCATTTTCGTTTAGATTCTCAGAAAAAGTGGATACATTTTAATAACATAATAATAGTAGGGTAGAAAAATATAATTAATTAAACTCTTTTTTTCTAATTTTGACAAGGGTGGTAATTTAAAAATAAGTTGAACTCACGCTAAATAATTTAAGTTAATTTTTATTATTATTACCGCATTGATTACTATATGTTAATGTGCATAATTAAAATAGCAAACTGTTGAAATTATTTATATTATTTTCTAATTAGTCTATGATCTCTTAAAATCACTATTTTTTTTTTTTGCTTTTCGGTGTTATTAAAACAGATGGTGAAATTAGACTTATAGAGAATGCTGGAAATGTTCTCTCTGGGCGCGGACGCCTGGGAAAGCGTGTTTTTCGGTGGTGATTCTAATTACATTGCCAATGTGTTTTCTTCGAACCCTTAAAGTAAACACCACTTGCCGTACATTTATTTGCATCACATTGTTTTATTGTAAGTTATGGAGTAGGATCTATTTATGTGACTTAAATTTTTAATGCTGGAAAGGCTCTCTTTGGGCGCAGACGCCTAGGAAAGCGTGTTGTTCTGTGGTGATTCTGTTGTGGTTGTGCTGTGGTTGCGTTGTGGTTGTGTTTGTGTTGTAGTTGTGTATTGTTTGTGTTTGTGGGTTTTTTGTTGTTGATTGTTTTGTTCTGTTCCTAAGCTGGTACATTTAAAAAAAAGATTTACCGTGGCGGAGCACAGGTATGCAGCTAGTTATCTATAATAACAGTATCGAAGTCTGTCTATGTATGTATGTATGTATCTATCTATGTATCTATCTGAAATATATAAAAGACCATGTGCACACTTCTCTCTCTCTCTCTCTCTCTCTCTCTCTCTCTCTCTCTGTCCGCAAAATATTTTCGCAGGGTATCACATCAGAATCTTCAGCGATATATGGAGAACTTGATACGGACTTTTGTATCGAAGTTTCGAAGTCTTTCTTTGTATGTATGTATGTATGTATGTATGTATCTATCTATGTATCTATCTGAAATATATAAAAGCCCATGTGCATACTTCTCTCTCTCTCTCTCTCTCTCTCTCTCTCTCTCTCTCTCTCTCTCTGTCCGCAAAATATTTTCGCAGGGTATTACATCAGAATTTTCAGCGATATATGGAGAACTTGATACGGACTTTTGTTGAAAATAATATGGTAGATGTTTTAAATGTATAACCAGCATTTTATTTAAAGAAGAAAAATAAAAAATAAAGGCGTATTCGAATGTTGAAAAACAATTTTAATTATGCAACCGGAAAAGCATTTATATATTCTAGACTAGATCTAAATCTACGCAAAAGCTAGACGTAGACG